TCACCTGCTTGGATCGAATCGGCTGGGCGTGCTTGGTGTCATAGGACTCCAGCCATTTCTTCCAATTCTCCTCGCCAACGATGGTGCGGGTGGCACCACTGTCAACAATTGCCTTGCCCTTGTCGGTGGTCATGAAGAAGCACTGTTCTTCCATTTTGACCTCCTCGATCACTGGCTCATCCTCCACCATAGTCACCTCTTCATCAGGCACAGTCTTGATGCCTTGGGCCTGACTTCTGTATCTCTTGAATCGCGGCCCATGCTGCTGTGTTGATCCAGAGAGCGTTGACTTCTCCGATGTTGCAGTCGTGGAGGTGCTGCTTGATGCATAGGGCTTCCTCAATCCAGCCATGGGTCGACGGACAAAGGGAGCACGTCGGAAAGGTGCCTTGCCCTTTCCCTTTCCTTTTCCTTTGCTGCTTGACTTCCCTTTTCCTTTGAAGCCTTTGCCACCATCTCCTTTGAATCCTCGATGACCGCCCTTCTCCACTTCTGGACCCAGCGCAACCACTGGATAGAAGCCTCTTGACAATGCCAGCTCCTTCATCCTCTTTCTGCTCTCCACATAGCTGACATAGGCTTCATCGGTCATCTCCATGGCTTCTTCCAACTCTTCAGGAATCTCCTCATCTTCGTCTTCGTAGAAGTTCTCCTCCTCATACCAGTCGGCGTCCGCTCCATAGTCCTCAGCCCAGTACTCTTCGTGCCATTCGTCTTCATCTTCCTCGTAGTAGGTCTCCTCCTTGGGGTTGTTGGCACTTGAACGAACCAAGTCACGGGCATTCGGACGATGGTCACCTCCGAACATTCTGATCAAGGCCTTTCCAACTTTGTCGTACTCGAGGTCTCCTGCGCACATGGCCTTGATCTGGACGTGAGTCCATCGAGGAACTCCTGCTCGAGTGAGGAGATGCCATCCCGACAACAACGGAGGGACTTCCACAAATAGGCTTGCAGCTCTTCGCCCTTGTTTCTGCTGAACTCACTGAAGAACTCGTCACATCGTAATGGAACCTCGATCAGGTCTTCATACTGGTAGAGCTCGTCCAGCAGAAAGTACAATGCCTTGAACGGGGTAGGAGCAGACTCAATTGCATTGAAGTCCAACTGCTCCGTTGCATCCCAAGCCACATCGCGAAGGCTGCTGATCACCAAATAGGCGCCTTCCACTGCAGTGTCATGTCCTCGTCGGGTGCACTGCTTCTCAAAGAGCTCCAACCTCCTTCTATAGCTCCTGTAGGTCTTCTGCGTGAGTCCCTCAGCGGAAGGACATGCCTTAGCCAAACCGGAATCCAGCCCTCTTGTGTTCTGCTGCATAGGGGCGTAGGTCAGCTGAGGTGGATCCTCGAAGTTGGCAAAGAGGCCACCGCGCCCCGCGGTGGATGCCTGTGTAGGACCGGCAGGTCCAGGGACGGAGGTTCGTGCTCTCCGTACAGGGGTTCTCCGTGGACTTCCCCTTTCGGCTCCCGACATGGGTGGCGATCTTATTCTCGACTTTTCCTAAGGAAAACGAAGTGCGCCTCAACCAAGTAGGTCACCGAAGACACCGGCAGTCAGGATCTCCGCCGGCCCCGCTACCAATCTCAAAGGAGTAGATCACGGCGTACGAAGTCCGCGCTCCTATTTCCGCACAAACGAGGGGGGTTGTGTCGTATCCTGTCCAGCTCAAGGGCCCTAGAAATGGCCGCAAAGAGTAAATGCCTGAACAAAGCTTGCAAATGATGCATGCGAAAGCAAACAGCAAGACATACAGTACTTATATACATGATTCTGATTACATGTACTTACAATAAATTAATCTTGATGTACCGGTGTGATTACCACCCCAGCAAGCTGGCTTCCCTAGCCCAGTCGTCAAAGACATCACACGAAGTTCGAGTTCTGGAAACCATCGAATCTCGTGTGCGAATAAGCGCAAGATTGCACGTCACCCCAGCATCTTCCAAGCGCCACTGTGGATCGAGTGGTGTCAAAGTGCATCCCGGCTGCTGCCTTTGTTTGTTTGGACGGTGGGTGTCACACTGTGACATTCATCTTGCCCTTACCCCTCGCCCGTTGGATGTGGTCATTGCATTTCAGCATGCTGACTGTAAACAACCCGCAGGCCCCTTCAAGATAGAACTAATTTTTGGTGAGCTCATTGCCCACCAGAGGCCCTGGTGAGATTAATTCTCGAGTGCATCCTGGCACAGGTGCACGTGGGAGACCTTCGATCTCATACAGGCCACCGTGTGGAAGGACCCAAGCATTCGGACGCCTCCTTCGTCCATTGTCGAGCAGCCCAAGCTGGTAGCCCTCAACTGTGCTGACCCGCTGGCCACATGAACATGTTGCGACCGGCAGATGGGAATCTCACTTGGACTTTGCCATCACTATGCCGTCACCAGGCGCCACACCTTGCGTGACACCGAACATTGCTTCCTTTTCGGCCTGGTCTCGCGCCCTTAAGACTCATTAACCCTGTTCACAACTTGCCAAGACAAAGGGACACATGCTGTGCTTCATTTTGCGGCAAACTAGAGCCCTCCGAGCATGATCTTGCCAGCAGTGTCCAACCCAATGCCGAGTCGGAGTTCTGATATATGTTGATCTTTCTTCCTTCTTTGGCGCCAATGGCATCAATAGCATGCCAAGCAGATTCGTAGGGGCCTGGCGCCTGCTCGATGCAAGAGGCCGTGCGCGCGGCGGCCGTGCGCGCGGCCAATGCGCACGTTATTTCTGTTCACTATCATCCGCAGCGGGTCCAATCTACATCTACATTCTCCGCTGTGCTGAGAATGTCATAGTCATACAGTAGCTGAAGATCAGCAATCCATGTGCGTTCTCATGTGCCTTTTCTCAGAAGAACTGGCACACAGTTCCCTGCCGCTGACGATTCCTAGGACGACCACGGCGGAGGGTTCTCAATCTGTAGTGGTGCTTTGGGTTCCTCCAAACACCCATCACATAGATAAGCAATGATAAGCATCACTTTGTTGCCAACCTGCACTGGTCTCCGATGAAACGTCGCAAAGCTGGCCTTGAGCATTTGTGAAGCTTTGCTAGGTACCGCCTTGTTCTTTCTCAAGCACCACAGCCCAGATCACGCGCGCCATGGATGACTCTTTCCATCTTCCCTTGATGCACACGCTGGGCCCTTTGAAAGCAATCCTGGCTCCGGTCAAGCGAAAGCGGCGAGGACAACAAACAGAACTAACATCCCAGACTGCACAGGCCCAGAGGACGCTCCACCATCAAGGCTCCACGCAAAACGTGGAGACAAAAATGCTGCAGCTGCTCAAGAACCTTGCAGGCGCAGAAGTCCAATGCCGCCAAAGGGGTCATTGCATCTTGCATTACTGAAAGAGGTGGAGTGGTTGGCTGGCTGCTGACAGATGACAACCCCTGCGCGTCCGTGGTTCCTGATAAATTCGGCATTCCGAAACCTGGATAAGTTTGGCGCCCAATTCGCGAACGAAACCGCGATGAAGGCAGCGCAAGGGACGAAAAAATCTGACATTCCTCATGCCTCTGCCACTGGCATTGCCTCAGATTCCCGCGCATATCACATTGGAACCGGAACACATCGGAATCGTGCGCAGCATGTTCAGGTCATGGGACACTGTGCATGTGGACGCTTGTTGCTAACAGCTCTATGCCCCCAGCTTACGCAAGGGATCGCTACGGTGGCCACTTGCTGGGTGAAAATGTAGTATTGCACACCTGCTCCAACCAGTGGCAACAAGCTGTTGTTTCTTCCCATCCCTTCACATGGTTACCCGTAGGTAAATGACCCTCCTGGGAAGAGAAAACAAGCCAATATCACACGACCCAGAAAAATAAGAATCCTTGTTGAAGTCCTTTGAACACATTGCGCCACAACTGTTACCGTACTTTGGGGTCATGACCCTCATGGACCAAGCGCTTTTGCATGAGTCGCCTCATTGCTTGAATTTGCATCGCGGCCCCTCCTGCAACTCACGGTGGTTGGACTGTCGAGAAGCCAAGCTCTCCACACAGTTACTTCACGCCTTGATTTGCCCCGATTTGCAAAAAAATCGCTCCAGAGCGCCGTGGTGCTCCAGAGTCTGGCATGCAGCCTTCCGGTGACAAACGCATGATTGTTGATCGCTTGCATGATGTGGATGCCAACTTGTGCAAGCAACACAACCTGGTACTTTTGCCCCAAACCGTTTGAGGAATGGCATGTTCAGCTCACTTTTGTTAGTTTGTTTGATGTTGCCATCTTTCAACACAAATTGCATGCGTGTATCCCGTTAAAATTGAAAACTGAGCGATGCTAATGACGGGCTACTGTAGCTGGGCGGCAACCAATGGTTGTGAGTGAGGTTTGCGTCGTGCTCCTGGCCAGTCAGCACAAGGGTCCTCAAATAGATAGAAGCAGCATGAAACGGTGTCCAACACATTTTGGAAGAGTTGTACCTTTTTTCTGTTGATGTTGGGTCACCTCCTTCCCAATCCTTCCCAGTCAAATGGAACCTTCAGATTGGACCTCGGCCAGGGCAAGTCAGTGCTGTGCACGGCCGTCAGCCATGGTCATTCGCATTTGGTGAAGCCGTCAGGTGCTCAGGAAGGCCGGTCAAAAACACTCCTCGATCAATTCCAAGATATCCACGCAATTCCATGCATATATATATATATAATATATAGTATAGAAATGTATAGACAAGCCTTTCGTTGCGCGTCATTCATCCAAAATTCCACTGATCACCCTACAAGTTGCTAATCTTTGTGAGCAAATTGTTGACTGTTAGTCCACCTGTAGCCGTTTCAAGGCTCGCATTCCAACAGAATAAGGGGCCACTTGCCAAGAGCGCCCTTAGATCCTTCAAAAGCTGTCCGTTGGTCACCGTATGCAGAATTGAATGGTATAGTTTTGCACTTGGGTGCCTTCATTGCCTTCACTTTCTGGTCCATGTTTACACTTTTCCTGCAATGCTGTTCTGGATGTTGACATGCTATTTCCAGACAAGCTGAGTTTGCAGCTATTTACCGGGTGGTTGGTTTCAAGCAGCAACATCCGTACATAATCCTTTCCAACGTCATGCTTCAACGCCTCCAGTGTGCAACCCGGCGTTGGGCAGAGTGCAAGAGGCGAAGAGGGCGAACCTCAGAGGGTGGGAGCTCTCATCTCGTGATGAAATGAAGTACGGTACTTGTCGCAAAAGGATGAGACATGACCTGCATGAGTGCGACATGACCAGTGATCAAAACTGGGACCAGGCTGCCGACGCTTTGCACAAGCTGGCATCGCCGACATGGAGGTTTGGTGGCTACTGTGCAGCAGACCTTTTCATGAAAGATTCCAGCCAAGGTCTAATGGCATCGCCCTGGTTAGAGACCAAGAAGCCCCTGTTTGCTTGACGTGTTCTACACTGCAATGCCGTGTGCCTACTCTGTATATGTATGTTATACTTGTAACGTTCGTTCACTCCTTGGGCCTGGGTGTCCCACCCTCCCGAGGTCCACAAACAAGCTATATGATCACCCAAGGAAAATTGAGCAACAAGTGTTGGGCGACCTTAGAGTCACCACTAGTCACTACCTCTGGTGTTGCTTATTCAATGTTTCTTTGGCCTTACAGGTTGATGGCAGAAAAAAAACAAAGACATTGACAATTGAGGGTGCTCTTGAACATTTTTTGTAGAATAACCGATTCAGTTCGCTGTAGAGTGCTGTACTACAGGAGCTAGAGTCGATAAAGGTACGAATCAGGTTCGGTTTATCATTTCCCTAGCTCAAGATCCGGTTTTTGAGTAGGAGTGTTCTTAGAATGAGTATCCTGGAGACACGTCGATGCAAGTTTCAATCACCCTCCAATGGTCCAAGCTGCATATACACGTGCATATAAGTGTTCACAAGAGCATGTCGTATTTAGATTCTGTTAGTTCTGCTCCTTTTCCACGTGTGCTCTTCGAGGATTTGCACGAGCTGGATCCCCGGAGTTTCCTCATTGTCGAGGTGAAGCGGGACCGGCCTGGCGTGCTGGGGGAAATCCTGGAGCTGCGTGGCCGATGGTATGGATGTCACAGTGCCGGGCCCCTCCCGGAGTGACTCAACGGAGGCCCAAACACAGCTGAGCCTTTAAAAGACCAAATAAATGAGGACCCACTAGTAGTTTCTTGTTACTAGTAGTGGACTCCAACCAAGTAGCTTCTTGCTACTAGTGCTTGTAGCTTCTTGCCCAGTTCCAGAGACTTGGTACCAAGGCAGAGTGCAGACCTAGCTGGGCCATGCTGGGCCAACTTTTTCCTAGGAAGCACTGGAATGGTCGAGGAACGATAGGATTTGTTTCATATATTGACCTCAAGTGAATTGTTCACCCAGTACACTGAATATGCACATTATTGAGGTGCACGATGAGGTGTTTCAGGTGGTTTCTCCTTCAGGCGGTCCCTAAGGGCAGAACATGGCAGAAAAAGATGCCCGAGATAATTGCCAGGACCAAATTGGATGTCCATAGATCCACAGATAGTGACTTTCTACGATGGTTTGTTATCATGTTTTTCCGAACTTTAGACTTTGGACGTGATGTGTTTGTAGGCCTCAGTCGGTTTTGCTGTGTCACTACGACAACCTTGCAGATCCGAGGCTGTTCACGCGATCAGCTGCAGACTGAGCGAAGGGGCACACGACATCGCAGCATGTACTCGTTAACATTCTTCACAGATGAAGCCGTGCCGCTTGAGAATGAATGCACTTGTTATGGAATAAGACTTTCTCAGACTTTCTCCATTAGGAGATGGCAGATTCACTATAATCATCCATGATCAGCATGAAAAGCCTTGTTAGAAGAAAAGGATAGAAAAGGGGGCATTTGTTGATCCCATGGCATCACATGTCTTGTTGGAGACCACCTTCTTTCATTGAGTGGATGCCGACACCGAGGCGATCAACATGACCCACATCGAGTCCAGGTTTAAGTCTTTTGCTCGAGATGGGCCCTCCTTCCACATCGACTTTGAAGGTTCCTTGAAGGACCGAGGAAAAGACAGACTGATCTGAAACAGCTGGTGAAGCACCAGATGGGTTGGACATGGGTTGAGAGTAGATGGCACAATCCCCAAGTTTGGTGGGTTTATATGGCATCCCCCATCTAAAGGACATTTTGGGGGTTGTGCCATCTACTCTGAAACCACGGTAACCTTTTCAAACGCACCAGTACCATCACAGCACTCTCACTATTCAGGACGCGCAGGTTCAGGAGCTGATGAAGGCATTTTTGGTCCGATGGGTAACAGGGGAGGGGCATATTCAGAAGAATGAAGATTTTGATAGATTTGGGATCACAAGAGAGTTGGCCCTGCTGGGGATACTCAGAACCAATATAAATTGATTCAATATAACAGAACCATATGAACCATCAACTTCGAACTGTATAGAAGAATCAGAAGAGTCGGGCAATTCTGCAATTGGTCGCCCCACACCACAAGGGGGAGACAATTCGTGCACGAAGGAGATATTCTGGAACATTGTGAGGATGAATCATGAAACTCCCCACGCCCATTTGCTCACAGGCAATCAAAGGCCTGCCTGGTGTGTACGACGTCCTGCCAGAGACCCCTAGAGAAGTCCCATGGTACTTGGCTGCAACCAATTCGGAGACACCCCGATCAGAGCCACTGGGCCATTGGGTGTTTTTCATTGTTTGTCCTTGTGTAGTCCTTTAAACTTTATACCTTTAAACCTTTTCTGTTGCCCTTGTGTTTTCTCCCAGCGGACCTGTAGACCTTTCCTTGTTTCATTTTGTTTCATGTTTGCCTCACCTCTTCGCTCGAGGTTTCCCATGAATATCCGTGAGCTGGACCTCACGGTCGACACCTTGGACGGAGGCACTGAGCTGATCAATGAGGACCTCGTCGCTATGAGACGAACATCCTTAGTACGTACTATTTGACAATACATAACAATATCTTATGGCAACTGTCCAAAGGAAATTACAGCAGCATTAAACAGTTACAAGTTACAAGATGTCACAAGTAAACTTGGTGTATCTTGTTTTGGAGCGCCAGGACCATCCTGGTTTCAATGATCCCGCATATCGAGAAAGGCTACGGTTTGCTGGTGATGGTGGTTCCCGTTCAGCTTCAGTTCCAGCAGCAAATGTTGCAAAGACGATTGATTTGCGAGAGGGTGTTCTTGTGTCAAGGCCCCACCAGACTTGGATGTTTCCAAATGTCAGGATGGATGTGCGGCTCTCACAAGTCTCACTTCCAATGTTTGGACAGATCATGGTAGGTCAACATTGGACCATCAAAACCAAAGCAGGACACCCCCCAAGCACAGGAGCCACGCAGATGAACGGTCGAAGCACCAAATGAACCTCCGCTGTTCCCCTGAACGACCCCCGAGAGACCGGGTCGTCAGGCGCTTTGAGATCGTCTCCCTGGCGAAGGCCTACAAGCACGGAGAGAAGCTGCCACGGGTGAGGCTGGGAGCCGGTGGGCTTTTTGAGCCAATCTTGAGTCACCATTTGTAGATTGTTTCTCTTTTTGCCCGCTTCCCCCTCCCTACTTAATTAAGTAGGCGACTACTTAATTAAGTATAATGAGGGATGAGGGAGAAGCTAATAGCTTAAGTAGCTCCTAGCGACAGGACGCAGGATAGCTCACGACGCTCAGGCTTCTTCAAGGGAGCTTCCTTGAATCAAGAAGCGCTCGCACTATTCATTTGGTTCCTAGAGTTTTCGCGAAACTAAATCTTGATGGTTGTCTCATCCAGGTGACCAGAGGCCTTTCATTCATGGGAGCTAAGATTATTTTTCTGGCTGTACAATCAAATTGTTGGTTCAACTGTGATTTCGGCCAGTGTTGAAAATTATTGATGCAGGTACACAGAGCAAGAGACTGCCACTTGGCAGGCTGGATCACAAGTGTTGGTCGGTCTTTTCTGTTTCTATGGTGTTGCTGGTATTTTGCCACCCTGGTGCAATGTATGTATGGCACTTTCAGCTCAATCGGGATTGCCCCAGCAGCATAGCTTCCGGTCAAGGAGCACTGCCCAGCTCATGGCACAGCCGGTAGGCATACGGCGTGGTTCTAGATGGCTTGCTGCTGTAGCCCTTGTACTGGCGGTGGCCTGTTCTAACAAAGCCTTTTGTGGAATTCAGACTCGTCAGAGCTGGAGCCAAGCACGGCTGAACCGCTGGGCGCTGCCACCTGGTAGGGGGAAGTTACCCATTTTGGGCGACACTCTGGAACTCTTGAACCCCAAGAAGATGGTCAGTTATCAAGTGGAGAGTCGACAAAAGTGGGGAGCACGTTGGACGACATCCGTCCTGTTTAAGCCCGCAGTCGTGATCACAAGTGCACAGGATTTGGCACTTGCCAGACGTCAAGAAAGCCGTCCAGGGTCATTTGAGGCATTCTTCCCACCTCATCATCAGCGGCTGTTTGGGAAGAATTCCTTGCTTGTGCAGAGTGGTGCTCCGCATGCCAGATTGAGAAGGCTAATTCAAAGTGCCATGACACCAAAGCAAGTAGCAGGCTATCAGGCCTTCATCAATGTTGCTATTCGTGACTTTTTAGAATCCTGCAAGCAGGAGCCCGGATACTTTGCCATGTCTTCCAAGTTGCAACAAACCATGGTGAGGATCATTGTGCAAGTCCTTTTCGGGCAAGATCTGGGTGAGAATCAGCTTGATGTCCTGATCAAAGATCTCAGAACGTGGTCCTTAGGATTGCTCTCGCCCCCTTTGAACTTCATCCCCTGGTCAGCAGCTGCCAAAGCCATGCGAGCACGAGGACGAGTGGAAGAAGTCTTGCGAAGCTGGATCTCGGGAAAAGACCTCGTGGAAGGTACTCTTTTGTTCGAACTCCTCAACGCCAAGGATGAGGATGGCAATGCCTTGTCATTCGATGAGATAATTGACAATGTGTTTACACTGGTCTTTGCTGGGATTGACACTACGGCAAGCTCCCTGAGCTCTGCTTTTCTCAAGCTCTCGGAAGACCAAGAATTGCAGGGCCAAGTGAGAGAGAAGGTGGCAGGCAAAGGGTCATTTAAATTGGGTGTTTCACGAAAGGACTGCCAATTCAATTTACTGTAGATACATCTTCCTCGATACAAGATGCCTCCTAGGTCTCCTAGGTCCGGATCTGATGCTTGGGGGTCGTTCTGAGCGTTACTGTAGCAAGTCAGCTCTCCTCACGGACCATGCATACCCATCATGCCGATTCCTATCTCCCTCTTACCAGAATTACTACCACAATATCACACATCACTACCATGAAACAAACTCCGCTCATCAGCTCAAACGTAAAGCAGATGATATCCAATACCTGCTCAATCACACCCCATCACCCCAAATTGGCTTACTGGAGGTCCCGATGGTGAGCGGGTCTTGGACCTCTTTTTGTCAGAAGTCCTGCGGACCAATCCTCCAGCACCCTTCGCCATGCGGCTGCTGCGGGAGCCGCTGAAGCTCAATGACCAGGTGACGGTGCCCAACGGCTACTTGTTGGTCTATGGCATCGGAGCTAGCTTGTCAGAAGAGTGTCTTGGATGATGGGGAGTGTCTGAGTCTAGAGCCTAGACCACTGAACTGGTAAAGTCTGAGTTGCACTTGTTGCTTCCTGACTGCGAAGAGCTGCGAATCTGCCCTCCTTTGAGGCAGCTTTTTCCCAAGCCTTCAGAGTTCCAGCTGGACCGTGGCGCCAGTTCCGCTGTCGAGTCTGGCGCCTTTGGAGGTGGCCCACGCCTTTGCCCTGGGCGCTTTCTGGCCACGACCGCAGCCAAGCAATTGCTGTCGGCTGTTCTGGGGAAATCCGGCTTTACCTGGGAATCTTGGATTGCAGGTGACCCTCAACCGGTGTCAACAGGAAAGAATCACTGAAAGAATCATAAAATTGGCCCGGCACGTAAACATTAATGATCCATGTTTGGGTTATTTGTTCTGCTGCTGCGAGGAACTGAAAGAAGGACAGAATCTTCAGCAACGCTACATTCCAGGGTTTTTCCCTGTCGATGGCTTGCTGCTAAAGCTTCAGTGAAATGAAGATGCAGAACACGTGAGTGTTGGCATGAACCTTGGATAGGCTTCTCAGGTTAAAGCCTGCAAACTGCCTGTCTCAAGACATATTGTTTACAGTTTACAGTATGTTGATCCCCTTGAATCATTTGAAGGCGCACTTCTTTCGGAATGTGTGCAGTCGCTTGTGGATGTGCAACAGAAAAGGTGAGGGAGTTCAAGTTCCAGCTGAATTTGGACATATAATCTATATATATATACACAATTACAAATACTTGTTCTGAGTGTTGGCTGCTGTTGGTGCTGTTGCTGTGGGTGGCGCCCCTGGTTGCAGTGTTGTGGTGCTTTGGCTGTTTTTGCGGCTTGCTCGTGGCAGTTGCCGTAGCGATGCATGTTGACAGCGGCGATGGCTGCTTGTGGTAATGAAAAAGCGGGTGGAAACAGTAATGTATCAGGTGTCGTTTTTGCATGCTTGGTAGTGTTCTAAGTGTGGTTTTGACAGAGATGCCACCGGCATGGTTGGGATTACCGGCTTTGTTGTGAGGCAGTGTATGAAAGATTGGGGTCGTTGCACGACAAGTGGGCCTGCAGGGAGTACAGTGCCTCGGATGCGGACAAGAACTTTTTGAAATGTTGTCGATGAAGACAGTTCAATGCCTGCAGAGCACACAAAGAGTTTGCTTAAGATATGACATCCAAAGAAGCGGATGCCTTCATCAGACCACCAGGAAATAGAACTAAGCAAGAGAAGGCTAATGCAAGGCAAGAAACTTTATACTCGAAAAATGAACGCCCGCCGGCGATTTGGCAGACCTTCAAACGTGTGGTGGCCCTTCTCCAAATTTGTTCCTAGTAGTAAGAATGCTCCTAGTAGTGATGCCAGGAGCCCCTAGTAGCATCCTCGCTCCTAGTAAGGCCAGGAGCCCCTAGTAGCTTCTTCTTACTAGAACATGTTGGTTGCCGTTTCGGGTGAACAGAATTGAGGATCATACAGCACCAGTCTTCCTTTGTATGACTTGTGCCGACAGCCCGACGAAGGTACGAGAAACCCTTTCAGACACACTCAGAAGCAAACATCAGTGCAATCTTGCCTTGGATTCCTTAGATAGTACTGATAGCAACCTGCATGTAGCACCAGCCGGGCTTTGTGGAGAGTCATACGTAGTGGTCCATGGCCTGTGTGGATGCTCAACCACTTCTTGAGGAGAAATGCTGCCGCAGATGGAGAAGTACTGTGGTGTGCCGGCTGCAACCATCCCATCCCGAACTCTACACCCCTTTCAACGGCAGATGTCTTGAAGTGTTAGGGACTTGATGGACGTGAATGGATCCCAAGACAAATCTGGACTCGTGGACTCACTGAAATTCCTCACTCAGTGATTCGACGGACTTTCTCAGAGCAACCATGGTTGCACTGTACGCAATATGTGTTTCAGCTGCGAGGTAGGGTTAGTTTTGATCTCTTGAAAAGCGTTAAAGAGCCTCCCCTTGAGTTCTGCAATTGTTGAAGACCTTTCCAACCAAGGTTATGCGGTGAACAACATTCCGCAGCAACCTGGCATGTGTGATGTTTTACTGTAGTTTATGTTTGCAATGAATATGTATATACATATTATTGATCTTACTGTATATTACTGTATATATGTGGGTATATATATATATAATCATTGTTACTATTGTTATGTTTGATGTTATAGATTTGTTATGTCGAGTGGATGTTGGAGCACGCATGCGGCCACAATATAATTCCGAGCCAGATGCTTACTTGCATGCGCGTCGAAGCCCAAATAGTTTTTGTATGTTTTTCCATTGGAGGGGGTCATCACTGGATGGCTTGTCTTGAATTCATATGCACACATGGCAGCACAAACGAGGCTGGGCGATATCTCTGATTTTTTGCAGCAGCGCACTGGCTTTACCTTGCGCCCCATCAGCGGATTGTTGAGTGCACGGGACTTCTTGAACGCGCTGGCTTTTCGAGCGCCAGAACTGCAAAGATCGTGTGTATTATACAATATAATACAATATATATAGTATATGTATATATATATATATCAGTTCGTGACCCTTTGCCAACAGAATGCCAAAAGGATGCCAGACCGAAAGGGCCAACAACTGGCGAACTACAGCACACCATTGACGAAAGAGACGTACTACGGACTACAGTTCATTCATGCAATGCAAGTGCAACTGCAAAAGTTATTTTTGAGGTGTTTTACTCCACCCAGTACATCAGGCCTGCTGACAGACAGCAAGCGATACGGATATGGATTTGGCTTCGAGCCCAAAGGATTCTTGAGCCTTTATCTGGTTTTATCAACAAGAGTTTCAATCATGTTCGACTCTGGTTGCCATGATAGTCAGTTCGACACTGTTTCATCCAGTGGCATATGTGTTGCCTGCGAGGCATCACGGGAATCCCTTCTACACGCCAGAGCCAGATGCTCCTGGGCAAGACAAATTGGTCGGTTTGGGCAAGATGGCCAGTTTCGGAGAACATATGAATCAGACAGCGCCAGGGTCCCCTGGCCAAAAGTCAATTCAGGACAAGTTGGAATCTCGGAGCCCGTGCAACAAACAAGCAAACAGGCATTGTCAGGCAGCAAGTTGGGTGCAAGGAGAAATTTGGCAACCTCCGTTTCTTGAAGCGTGCAAGCGATGTGCGGGTCATTAGCCTGTCGTAAGGCCCATGAACACAGAGGGATTGTTAAAAAGTCCACCTGAGAAGGCTGATGCGCTTGTGTGGAGGAAAATCATACTCAGTTCATTCAACACACGAGCCACCCACAGAATTTTTGGTGCGTCAGGTAGATTCCAGCTTCCTGATTCCTCGGCCTAATATATATACTGTAATAGCGATCTCATGACAAGATGAACCATGCCTTGAGACGCCCTCCAGGCTCCCATTGTTTAATGCGTGTTCTTAGGAGATGACAGTTTTTGGAATAAATTTTGACAAGAAAAGCGAACCACCACAGCAGAAGTAGGAAGGTTAGACCCACTCTTGAGCCAATGTCTTTGCCGCTTATGAGCTCAGCTCATCCTTGGAACCTTCTTCACTGTGATACAATCCATAGATTGCTACAAACAATTCTGCGTTCTGCCGCCTTGTTCGTGGGGCTAGTGCGGCTAGTGTCTTGTGTCTGGTTTTGGAGCTCGGCGCCGCAGATTTGCCACGAGCTCTTGGGACATGTGCCGCTCTTCGCCAACCCCGCCTTTGCGGATTTCTCCCAGGAGATCGGTCCATGCCCCAGATGCGGATGGGGAGAACGGAAAAACTGAGAACTTCAAAGTCTTAAAGCCACATCCTTCAAAGGGCGATTCTTTCTAGTTGTTCTGAAATCAATGGTGTTCATATGTTTTCATTCAAAAGCGTTTGCGTTACCAACACGTCAGGATGTTTGGGTGGCCTTGCTGTGTTTGAAAGCTGAGAGCAAGTATAGTTGATCTTGGGGGCAGATTTCTTTGACATGTTCAATGATTTGCCAGCAGTTTGCCAGAGAAGGAGTTGAGATGTAACTAGAGCCACCTGCGCTGAAAGAGAGGGCCGAAAGCTCGATGCCAAGCAGTCCAAATTGAGCTAGCATAAAGGGACACCTCTGACGTTCAATGATGTTGTCGACAACTCCAAGGCATGATGGTTTCATCCTGTCGCACTCATATTTACTTGTTTCTTCCTGGTAAGGCTTGGCATCTTTGGCCGCTACAGATGAGGATGTGGCAAAACTGGCTGCCGTTTACTGGTTCACCGTGGAGCTGCCAGATGTTAATAGTTCGGCGATGTTGGTATGACGGCATGATAAGAACCGAAGATGCCCCAACATGCATGCAGACATAATAATTGCTTTAGCCATCTAGCTGGGGTAGATGTTTAATTGAAGCGAGGGACAGCGGGCGGGCGGGACGGAAGAGAGAGAGAGAGAGAGGGAGGGAGGGAGGGAGAGAGAGAGAGAGAGAGATGTGCAAGGCTTCTTTACAACGGTCAATGTTTGGCGGTCACGCCTCAGAGTTGTCACATGGGATGGCACATCTGAGGTTTGGTCTTCTGCGAGAAGGCACATCCGGCACAGCAAAACAGTTGTGTTTTTGGCGAATTTGCCACTCACTGCGTGTCTTCGGCCACTGTCGCTCTGAGGACACGGTCGCGTGTCTTCAGATCCCCCTCCCAAGGCGAAGATGTGAAAGCCTTCGGCGCGGGAGTTCTGAGCAGCTTTGGTGAGATGGAATGGGCCTGTGCCGATGTGCCCTCGCAGGCGGAGATCGCCAGTGGGGTCGGCGATTCTTCGAACCCAAAGTTGGATGTTGTTCGATGCTGCGTCATTGAAATGCTTGTTTGATGTTCCTTCGTTGTGCAGCTGGGCTGAAGATCGCACATCACCGCACCCACTTGGCCAGGAGTGTCGGGAGATGGGCAGCATGAAAGAACAGCTGAAGCCTATCCTTCGGCCCTTGGACCCCTTGGAGGCGCGCCCGCGCTAGGACTGGCGTTTCAACGTGGGAAGATATAAGCAGTCACGTCGACCATCGCATGGGCATATTACTGTACAAGAACAGCAGGACAGAACATATCCATTAATGTAGAATGCAGATTAGTTGCCGCTCCCAGAATAGTGTCTACACACTTTTTTGTTCGATTAATAACCCCCCCCAGATTAATGTTTGCACATGTTTAAAAGCCATGTTTTTAGTTGTTTGTGTGTGTTTGTTTTAATTTTCTGTTATGTCCTTTAGATTTCCTCTTAATTCCTTTTGATTTCCTCTTGATTTTTTTCAGAATCAATTATTAATCAGGAGTGTCAATTTGAGGGAGAGGGGGGTGATTATTAATTTGCCGTCTACATTATATAGATTTATGATTTATATAGCATATATAGAGCCTTCCAGGGGTCACTGAAAGCGCTCAGAACCAAATGAGTGACTAGTTCTTTGCCCTTCCGCCAAGCATGTTGTCCACCCAGGCATCCAAGCAGGAGTATCCGTTGCTTGGAGGCACATTGATGTTGCTCGTTGGCAAAGGCCTCTTCTTTAGATCTTCCGATAACGCTTTGAACACATAGTCAAGGTCAATACGGAGTCATGTGCGTTGGACGATCTTGCCCTTGCCCTTGCCCTTGAGGATTACCACATATCAGCCAGTCATGTTCTGCGCAGAAAGCCTGGAGGAGACGCTCCCCGTGCAAACAGCTCACCTTGGAAAGCACTTGCAGCGAGCTGCAGCACAAACCTGTTGATGCTTACCCCGCCTAAAGCCTGCAAGGCTTGCCAATGCGTCGCCCTTTGTCAGAGGCTTTTGACATCACCCCAGCTGGTGGAATGTTTGCTTGACTTGCTGCAGGATGCCGAGTTCCGGATCGCACAGTTTTGCGACTCCTTGACTCGGCCCTTCTTTCCGCAGTATGCACCTGGGCAAAAACACCAGGGCGTTGCAGTTGCAGGGCTGCTTTTGAGACCAGATATTACATTGGATTTCTTTTAGGCCATTGCTAGTAGATTGGAGGCCATTGCTATTGGTGTTAATGAAAACCGCTTCCCAAACGCTTCCGATACCCCCAGGATCCGCTCACCCAAACCATTCGCGTGACCAAAGCCATTCGGAGAGCGACCCGGCACTCCACCGTTGAGCTGCAACGTCAGAAGCAGTTCCTCGGCATGACAGAGTTCTTGAGGGTGAGCATCCTTTGGGAGTTGCCTTTGGGAGTTCTGCCAAAAGTACTTGTCAAGCAGAAACTTCAGCGCACAGTGCATTGTCCAGTCAAATTGCATGCTGTTTGGCACAATAGTGAAGCACACACATCTCAAGGATGGAATTCTTCGAGAAAGGAAAGTCAAGAGAGAATTGATGGTTGCTTGTCACCAAGGACGCCCGTTGTTCTTTTGAACTCTTTGATCTATGATCTATGTGTTTGCTGTTTCATTGTGAACATCTCAAGACTGTCAGCCCGGAGACCATTCGTGGATATTTCTTTGGTCGTTCTTTCAGGTCCCGAGCCAAGAGACGCCGAGCCAAGAGCCCTGCCACATCGACGTTTGGGGGATGATGTGGCCCTGTACAGTGGCACAATGGGTCGACCAGTTGATCTGCCGAAGGGCCGAGAACTTCTTCACATGTTGGTCGGTTCGGGGGCGCTTGATTCGCCTTTGGCATGCGGCACTCATTTGGGATTTAGGAGATGTTGGTCGGTTCGGGAACGTGAGATCCCACGCACTTTTTTGCGATCAAGTGAGGCTAAAGATCAACTGGTCCCATGTTGCTGGCCGGCAGTGACTAGCATCATTGTGCAAAAAAGAGCTGCGCCTTTGACAGTGGCAAGTGAGGCTGCACCTGATTGGCATGGGCTCGTGACAACCGGTGGTATGGCAACTGAAATCTGATGATTCCACCCCTTGGCACAAGTTGGACAGAAGTGAATTGTCACGCTCCCATGAGCCAGACTTTTGCGAATTCAGATTGCTGGTGGCCATTTGGGCCAGCTGGAATTCCAGAATCTTCGACCAGCATGACCAGCAAATCAATGCACTCTCGGCACCTTCTTGGAGAGTGTGCTGAATGCAGGAGGGACTTCCATATGGTTTCTTCTGGCATTGGATGCTGATTCTTGGCCGCGGCATAGTTTCAGCCGTGGCCGCCAAGAACAAGACTCGGCGGCTTCCTTCAAGATAGCAGATAGCCAGGTCAAAATCCCATTAAAACTCAATGTGCGGCAAGATGGAAGTGCTTGTTTATGTTCTTCCAAGGTTGTAGGTTGATGGCTTGGCTGGTAGATACTTGCAATTCGCAGGCATTCAGATGATGTATATGATGTTTTCAATTTTCAACTTGCCCTCTCCCAACTCTCCCAACACCCCCTCCCGGCATCTCTCCCGGGCCAAGGCTGATCAACCTACAGGCTGATCCCAATTCGGTCGATTATCGAGGCTTGGAGCAGCAAGTTTAACAATCTCTTGCCAGCTGTTTTGGGTTCCAATCATTATGTTCTAGCATGTTCTAGCTAGCTAGTGATCATTTGAAAACCGGTTTGGTCATGCTTCTCCAGATCAGCCAGTCCCAGCGTTGATCGCGTGAGGCTCCACACCCTTGATGTTGGCTGCCTCGGCGGGAGATTTGGCCTCAGTGGCCGCATTGGTTGAGGCTCCAGACGTGCACGCGCGAGGGAGGAAAGGGAGGGAAGGGAGCGCTGCAGTTTGCCTGGTTTTTGTCATGGCCGGTTTGTTGGATGGGGATGATGGAAAGCTCCAGTTGCACGAGACGCACCAATCTCCTACCCCGCACACACAGCACGTCGTTGCTAATTCGCTGGGAGGACCTGTGAGACTTCTTGTGCAATATTGTGCGATCATCAGTTTCAAGCTTTCTCGTTTTTACATGTCCTCAGGGAGGGGCATCCCTGACCCAGAAGAATGGGCATGGGCAACGTGTGATGGCACTCAGCTTTTCCAACGACTTCGCCGCCTCAGTCAACCCGTATTCATGCACGTAAACTAACAGCTTCGAATAGCTTTGAGGAACAATGATGAACAAGGTAAAGCTGCAGCAACCTACATGCTACATGCTTGTATTTTGCCTTTCATCCCTTCAAGCTGGTGTAGGCAAAAGGCACCTACTCATTCGGGTTGCCTTTCTTCTTACGAAGAGTATACATAATGACTTCGTCAATGACGTTTGATTGGCAAGGCCTGAGTTTGAAGATATAGATATATATATATATATTTATGGAACCCGCTGAGTCAATCCCCAAAAGAACGAATGAATAGAAAAATGTGAAGACATCCACAACCTGAGCTGAATTGTACTGCCTAAGCTTCAGGAGGGTTTTTTGGTACGAGTGCATGTTCCGATGAAGAGAGTGTGCGCCTTCTCATGCTCCCTTTTGGCGATCAGACAGATATAATATAAATTTTATATATACTTGTATATGTATGTATATATATATATATTGAATCGAAGAACCATGGCATACAGCTTACATGGCTTATGATATTCGTTGCTTGACATGTTCCTTTCAATGCCACGCCTACGAGGGTTTTGCAGACTGAAAGAAGGCAACTTTGTCTTGATGAGCTAAATTGATGACATGAGCTCGCTCATTTTTCATGAATCAATTCTCCTGTCACCCTTCCGATCTTTACGTCCTGGGACCTCTGAAGGATCTCGGAAAAGGGTTCGTGGCTGGTAGAGTGTTCTTTGGTCCTTTGAATGCCCCTAGATCAGGGAGAAGAGATGACAAGACGCAAAACCACATTGTTTCAAGGGTCCTTTTGAATCATCATTCAATTCCTTTTTTCATCTTCGCCGATTTGACATCGTTGGACCGTTGCCCACCGTGAGCCCAAGGCCCTGGACGTAGCAGCGACTGTGGCGGTGCGTGCCGCCTTGCTCACGGCCACCGTGCGGAAGATCGCAGGGCAAGGGGCCCCGGTGGGAATTGGCGAAAAAGCGTCGCAAGTAATAACGGGGATCAGGGAAGCAAATGCTTAGGCAAGACAGTTGGAATCCCCGCTGGTGTCCTGACATTTTCCTGCAACATCTTGAAATACCTCTCAGGGTTGGTGAATTTGACTGCCGATGAAGGCCTTTATGAGGATTATTGATTAGTAAATAATTATTGATATTTTTTGGATTTTTATACTATAGATTGATTTATTTATCCACTGACATCCACTGACCCATTCCCATTCAATGGATTTTGGTGAGTGTCCGAGATTTTGTCAATCAAATGGATGTACCTGTTGTGCTGCAGCTGATGGCCCAGACATCGCTACATGACAAACTTCTATGGTGACAATTTGGCGAGGAGGCAATACTGATGCATATCAGTTAAGGTTTTAACAGACTTCAGAACTACGCCTGTCGGGCTTCCAAGCATCACAAATAGGGTTGCATGCCATCATGCCAGAGTCCTGCCACACAGAGACAGGCATTCACGTGTGTGACCTCAAGCTTGAATTTCTGTCCAGCTGCAATGACGGGCACGAATGTCCGACCAACTACCTTGGAGTTCCTAGGTTTGGCTGGGAACTTTGGGCATTTGAACATGAAGGACCCCTTCGATGTGAAGAAACGGGGCTCCACTTACTTCACCGAGTTCAGGGCTGGTCTCACTACATTCTTGGCGATGGCCTACATTCTTCCCGTCAACAGTGGCATGTTGAGCTTAGTGATTCCAGGCATGCGCGAGCAGCTGGTTTGTGCTACCGCTTTGGCTGCTTTCTGTGGGTGTTGGTTGATGGGCACGTTGTCCAACTATCCCTTCATGTTAGGGCCTGGCAGCATGAATGCCTTTTTCACCTTCACAATTTGCCTGGGCAGGGGCTTGCCATACCAGGCGGCCTTTGCAAGTGTCTTCGTAGCTGGATGCATGTTCCTCCTTGTGAGTATCACAGGACTGCGGACACTAATGATCCGTTTGTTTCCTAAGGGGATCAAGGAGACCATTGGCGCAGGCGTAGGACTGTTCTTGACCTTCATCGCCTTCCAGGCATCTGCCGGAATGGGGTTGTCCACTGCTGATCCAGCCACCCTGGTGACACTGAACAGCCTCAGCCCCGAAAGCTACGATGCCCCAAAGCTGTGGCTGAGCCTGGTGGTGCTGGGCCTCACCGCGGCGCTTTTCGCAGCCAAGGTCCCAGGCGCTCCTTTGATGGGAATTCTCTTCGGCACAGCGGTGTGTTGGATCGAAGGCTTCGCACGAGGCAAGGAGCGCTCCGTCTTCGGGTACCCCTTCGGCACCTTGGGGAAGCGCGATGCCGGTTTCCACATCTACCTGCCCACCGGCCTCCTTGGTGATCCGTCTTTGAGTGGTTTGTCAGGGGCACTTTGGAGCGGCTTTGGGGCAGCCACTGATCCTGTGATGGCCTCCACCTTCTGGACGGCTGTGGCCACTTTTTGCTACACTGACCTACTGGATGCCTCAGGCACCTTCTTCGCCGTGGCCAAGGTCGCCCGTCTCACCGACACACGGGGGAACCTTCCACTGGCCCGGCAGAACATGGCTTATTTGGCTGATGGCTTTGCAGCCCTGATTGGAGCCATGCTTGGAGTCTCCACGGTGGTCACCTTTGCCGAGTCCACTGTGGGGGTGGCCGATGGCGCCAAGACGGGGCTGGCACCCCTGGTCACGGGCACGTGCTTCCTGTTGGCCATCCCCATCGCTCCAGTGGTCTCGGCGGTACCACCCTTGGCCACAGGACCGATCTTGTGCTTATTGGGCGTGTTGATGTGTCAGTCCTTGCGGAGCATCGATTGGGAGGACTTTCAGGAGTCGATCCCGGCCTTTGTGACCATGGTCACCATGCCTTATACCTTCAGCATTGGCTATGGCATCATTGCGGGCTTGCTACTGTGGCTTGTGATTCAGTTCCTGTTGATCCCCGTGCGCCTCGTAAAGAGAGAGGATCCTTTGGTGCGCTTCAAGGTCTTGTGGGCCGGAGTCTTTGTTCACGAGGATGAGGCCTTGGCAGAGAAGCAGGATCTGAGCAATTCCGATACAGATGATGCGGATGTTGGAAGCATGGGCTCGTTGGCGTAAAGCCGAAAGTTTTCACATGGTGATGAACACCGTTGCATTTGACGTAGCATCAGTCAGACAGCTTTAATCAGGCCAATGAATTCAATGCTTGAGACCGAGGCCAACATGGTTGAAGATTGTTGAAGAACATTGAAGCAATAGAATCGCTCAACAAAGAAACATGAGAGAGCACTGAATAGCTTTTCACTTCCGAGAACCAGCGGTGCACAGGCTTGTGAGTTGTACAGTGGCTGCCGCAGTTGTACAGTCAATGACCTAATCGGTTTCTCCCTCATAGCACCATGTAACACCTCGAGAGCATTCCCAGGGGAAAATAGTCTCGTCATCCTCCTTCTGCATGTGGACAACCATGTGTTCACGCGGAACCAGTGTTCTAAGTTAAGAATGCTGGGAGATGTTAAGAGACAGGAGCAAGGACGCTACTAGGGGCTCCTGGCCGTACTACTAGGAACAAGAAGCTACTAGTAACAAAGGGCATCGCTACTAGGAGCGATCGGACGCTACTAGGACCGACTACTAGAAGTGTCCATGATGAAACGAATTCGTTCAAAAGTTCGATCTCGGCGACGTCTGCAGACTCCAGGAGTTTCATGTTGTTTCACGTCGTCAGGTTGCCACGGCCCCTGTCTGCCACTGCTTTGAAGCCCATTCGAGTGGATGAACGGCGGCGATCCTCCGTCAGGAGTCTTAGGTGGGTGATTCGGGGAAGTTGACATGTGACATATTATTTATATATGTCGATATATGTCGTATATCATGTTATGAGATACTGTAATAATATGATATAGTATGTAATAATCTGTTCTATACCCAGTCTGGCACCTTTAGCACATTTGACCTATATGGGGGGTCAAAGCACGCATATTGTCTATTTTTGATACCCATCCAATCCCACCGGTCGTGTTTGGGTGCTGAAGAATCCACCCCGGAAAAGGTACTCGTATGACCCGGGTGACCTGAATCATGAGAAGTCAGCTATCTCAAGCGACTGACTCATGGGTGACCCGTTGTTGACTGAATGCATGGGAAAACCTGAGGCCGTTGAGTATCACCGCTTCCGGCTGGGCGATTTGCCCGAGACCCTGGGTACGGCCGAATTGTTGGAGGCGCGGAAGACGGGCATGTTTTGGCAGGGCTTCTCATGTCTCCTTTTGCCGCCAATTCCCTTATGATGCTGGTTTGTCACTTTCCTTGATGGAAGAAAAGCCAGCGCTAGGGCCACATTCGTGCGCTGATGAGACGCGTCGGGATGCCAAAGCCACGCGCCTAGTTCTTGAGGGGTTGTGTTGACTTATGATCAATGATCTTGTTTCAAGGCCTGATGTGCTGGATATACCCGTGGCCAAGCCCTCAGGGCGAGAGATTCATCACGCGGGAACTGCTTTGCCCACAATGCGGTTGTGAGCGAGTTCGCTTGCACCAAGGATCCTATTCGGCGCCGTGCGCTAGGCATGGGTGTGCATTTTGTGTGTGTGTGTGTTATGACTGGTAAGTGGCAATTCCCCTGTCACACCTGCACATGAGCACAAATAGTGCCTTCAAAAAAGGTAGAAAGACCCACAAAGAGGAAAAACGATTGAATTGACATACTTATACCATCCTACGCCATGCATATCCCTTGCCATGCCGCAGGAATTGCTTATTTGGAGTATTTGGATATCAATGCAGCAGATGCACGGCATGCACAGTTAGACCCGGGCAGTGCACTGATGCGTGTTGAAGGTGGGCAGTGCACTGATAAATGGCGGCGACGGGTTAACCTTGGGCATCCTGGGACCATGTGTGTGTGCAGCTGCAAAGCACCTTTGCTTTGTTTCGGAGTGTTGTACATCCAAGTTGTGGAGCTTCTTTGAGAAACTGAAAAGGTAGCGCTGCGTGTGCAAGTATCCTTACTGTATATAGATGTTAATAAATATTGCGTGAGTTACATGGTTCTCGGTTCAACACGCTCAGGACAAGGCTGAAAAGATGTTTGTGCAGGCACGGTTTACTGGCGCTCCTTGGTACAATCATTCCTGACTGTGCTTGGAGCCAGTTTGGGGTGCCAAGATGGAATCTGCAAAAAGGCCACAGTTGGTCCAGGAAACACTCACCAGCAATCCAGCACAGATGGTGTAGATTCTGATTTGTAGGCAGATCAGCGGTTTTCGTTAATTCGTTCTACAGGCCAAGGATGTCAAAGGGCCAACGGGCACGACAGCATCGTTGGCGAGAGAGGGACCGTGCTTGAGGATTGGGTGGAGAGAGCTTCAGGGTGGGAAAAGTCTTGAGTCTTGAGCTGTTCCTTTCATGACAGGAACTTCCCTTTGTACAAAAAGTCTTGCGTTCAAGACGATCACAGGAGGTCCCGTCCACCGTCTGGAGTGAGAAGCAACGAGGCGCCAAGGGATGGGGTGTGAAACTGAGGGAAGTTTTGAGAATGAACGGCTGCTTCTCGCACAGGCATTCCACCGTTGAGTGGCCTGCCGGCACTTTATCTTGTCTCAATCCTCGGGTGAAGCTTTAACAGGAAGCAGATCCCACGTAGGTAGGTAGCGCACAGCCATGTGAGCACCCGCCAAACCGGCAATGACCCCAATTAGTATGAATGAGTAAAGAGCAGTTGTGAGCGTCAGGAGTTTGGCTAGAACCTGAAAAAGCCATAGGCCCCCCTCCAAGGCGATCAACTTTTCGTTTGCAAGATGTTTTGGCAGACGCTCCTGTGGCGCTAACGACTAGTGATTTGAAGATGTCCAAGGTTTGAATCGCAAGTTGATTCAAGTTGACCCAGAACTTGGTAGCAAAAAGGTGTGCTTTATTGAGCATGATTACAGTGTATAACTCGACTGGTTGTTCAGTGTGATGCCGGCAAAGTTCGGCAGCCCACACAAGTTGGCTTCTCATTCATTATGGCCAGTCAACGAACAAGCAAGCGCAGCCGCAGGTTTCTTGACCTGCGTGCCCAACAGAAACAGTCATATGATTTTGCCTGTTGCTTTTTATACCGCCTGGCTGCATGACCTAGAACCTGGCTGAGTTCTTCCTGCGGCTTGTGGCTGGTCAAGCTAGAATTGCTAATGTATATAACATTATATAACTAACTCTTCTGTGTCGATACTCAAAGTCTATCTACGAGCTGGATCTTTGACTCTGCAGTTTGGTCCGGTTGTTGTGTGCTCGATCAAACATGATAAAGACTGGATGCACAGGTCATGGCTGACCTGCTCTTGCGACAACAAACTTCTCAAGGCATCCCTCAACAACTAAATAGGTCTCAATAGTAAAGGCTGGGAAGTTGATCGAGGTTGCCAGCATGTTAATCAACAGTAGTCAACTCGAAACATGTTGGTCATTGACCCATTTGACCCTCATGAGTCGGATCGAAGATCATCGCAGTGTTTCGTCGACTTCGTCGATGCTGATAACTCATGATGTTCAGCTCACATGTACAGAACTCATGGTTGGAGGCACCCGTGGATAGGCATTTTTTGTGGCAGGCACTCAGGATTGCTTGATGTCAGGCTCCTCTCTGTAGATTGTAATGTGGCATCCTTATTTGTACAGTTCAATGCATATAAGTTCTTCACAACAGCCACATTCCACTAGGGAAAGAAGTAGTGGCAAAAACAATCCGCTGACCAACAGATGGAAAACTTGTGTGGAGAGCCATACGCCTCACCTCCACCCGCGTCGCAGTTGACATCTATTGTTCATAGACTTTGGATCCAACGCTTCTCGAGATGGAGCTGATCATAGCTGTTTTCATGTCTTGAGGCGGGGCATAACCAGAAAAAGAAAGACGACTGTAGCACAGTTGGACATAGCTTTGAGAAAGCCTAGCAGGATCTGGCGGGCTATATTGTTGATGAACTCGCCCCCACAGGAGTCAAAAAGAATCACAGCACTGCGAGCTTTGTGCAGGCATGGAAGAGCCAAATGCCCCAAAGGTGGGGGGCCAAAAGGAAATCGAAATGAACCGTGTTTAAGATCATTGGATCGGATGCGGGAATGGCTTAGGCACTGGCCATGAGAAACATGAAGCATAGCATAGCATTGCACTGACATGTTCTGGTCGCGATTGAATACATGAAGAATTCCCTTTAGCTTTGTGAAATGGCTGGACTGTCACCCGGTCAGCTGTGAAATGGCATGTTTCATTGGCGGTATTTGATGAGCCGCCCCTCTAGGCACATCACCTTTCTGAAGAAACACTGTTTATCCCTGTTTATCCTACTCAGAATCTAACCGCGTCAGATATGTCCAACCTTGCAAGTGGTCGATACTTGTACAATCCTGTGCAATCCTGTGCATGTGTTTGTGGATTGTTGTGGTGTTTCATTGTTTTCCCTATATATATAGTTCTATATATATATATACATACAGTACATACATACACACACATACACGTGTCATTGTGGCCAGCGTTCGCAAATGCGTAGAGGATTTGTGACACTTCGGAATGTAACAGTGAAGAGCCTAGTTGTAGCTCTCGTGTCACGAGGCAGATGCCGGGGCCCTACTTTGGCTCTTAGGTGCGGCGGACAAGCCACAGCGCAGGCCCGGTTCAGCATGCCTGAATCGGCGCCACCGGTTCTCAGAAAGATCTCAAAAGGGCCTTTGCCAAGTCTGACAGATGCCCACAGTTGGAAAGAAAGGGAAAGAGCCAGAGAGAGAGAGAGAGAGAGGAAGGGGGAGAGGGAGGGGGAGAGAGAGAGAGAGAGGGAGAGAGAGAGAGAGGGAGAGAGAGAGAGGGAGAGAGAGAGAGGGAGAGCGAGCGAGCGCCAATGCCCAACCTTGGCGGGGACTGCAGGCACGTACTGTAGATATTATATATATTTAAGACTGGCATGCCTGTTTTGCTTCAGGACACGGAAATCCCCGGGCGTTCACACGGCCTGGACTGCGAGGCTGTTTTGGCATTCGAAACTGCTTGTTGTAGTGTCGCTTTCGGATGAAGGGAACCTCATTGGCTGGCAACTTCTCAGGCATGTAGTTCCTGATCCTGTTCCAGCACATCTGGCGAGTCTTGGTAGCAAACTCTAAGAATAGAAGCTGAGACAATCGAGCTCATTTTTCATAGAAGAGGTGGAGAGAGAGGGCCACGTGTTCAAGAGTGTGACAGCCCACCAGGCAGGGCACCTCACTATTAACCTCTATGAAATACATCCCTGAGAAACGGCACGTAGGATACATTGTGAGAGAGCCAAGGTTACTACCAGCGTACGAAGTGAGTAAAGGGGGTGTGGGGGGTGGTTGCGAGAGGGCCAATTTTGGAGAGGTGAACCCAGAGCCTGGTGGGGGAGAGCGAAAAACAGAGGTGGGCCACTTGGTAGTG